GAGGTGCCCTTGAGCAAGGCACCGAACCCCCAACTGCTCCCCGGGCGCCGCAGCATAAATTACTGCCCACTACTCCGGGTGTGTGTTCACGGTGTGTGTGTTCACTGCTGTGTGTGTGCACTTAGGATGGGATAAATGCAGAGCACTAATTCCTAGTATGGGTCACCATACTTGGCCACATGTCACTTCACTCACTCACTCACTCAATAAAATATAAACTGTCATTTACAGAACTGTGTATTTCCACCAAAGAATATTATTTAACATAATGCATGTACTTTATATAATTTGAGATGTGGTGGAAATAGCATTGTGGTGGAAATAGTCATGCTACTTAAGAGGGAAAAAATAATTAATAAAAAAAATTCCTGTGATGCACATATGTCCATTGTTGGACAATATTATTGAACAACTAGTAAGAATGTGAAAAGTGTGTTTTAAGATAGTTTATTTTCTGAAAGTCAAGAGAGTCAAAAGTGCCTGTGGTTAAAGAAACACCCCCTCAGTGATGACCTAACCAACTAATCTTCTTTAAGGTTCTATTTCCTTTCCGTTCAAGTATACTCAGCCTGTAAGATCTCCTTGATTTATCTCATGTGTCAGCGTGTGTTTTGTGTGTGTGTGTGTGTCCTGAGTCAGCACTGTGCTCTCAGCATTAGAAAGCTCAGGAACACCAGCAATCTCCACTCAAGCTGTGTCTATTACAAACACATACAAACATGCATTACAAATCTTAATGACTTCAGTCTACAAGCCTGTAAACATGCTCAGACACCCCCACCTACTTACACACTCATCAGCCGGTCCATCAGGTTATTAACACAATGATCATAATTTACAGATGACATTGCAACACATTTCTCTATGTGTATGTGTGGTTTGTTTGTGTTGGTTTTGTAGAATAGATTTATTTATTTTGCTGGTGGCTAAAATTTTCGTTATTTATTTATAATCCATGAAGATTGAACACCATTGTATGACAATGTGTTTACTTACCAATGATAAAAGTTGGATAATTGGTCAAAGAAAAATATAATATCGTTTGACCACTAACGTTGACCACTATTGTTTGACTAATCTTAATATTGTGAGATGTGAACAGTGGACTTTAAGTGTGTTGGTATGTGAAACATTTCATGTTCAGCCCTAGAAAGTGGTTGATTTGATAGAGGGTGTCAAGAAAGGTATAGAAATAATCAATCATGGGATGATGAAAAAGATTGAGAATCTGGAGCAAAAAAAATATGTCAACTCTGCAAAAGGTAGAGATGAAAAGAGGAAGCTAACAAAATGTGTATGAAGGGCGGAAAGAGAGGGATGTATAGGACTATAGTGTAGGTGTGTTGAGATGAAGGGGAATTAATGTGCTGCGACAAAACTACAGAGAAAGCTGGAACAAACGTACAGAGAATGTAGCAAGAGAAAGATGGATTTTCACACCAAAGGCCTTGTAGAAATGGTCAAAACCGCAGCCTATATGTTCTACAGCAAATTTCTGGATTTTTTTTACAGCACTGGATTTGTTTTTATACAGTAAATAATGTAACATTTGAAATATTGGTTTCTAAATTTCTCTTGAACAGTGAAGAGTCATATAATTTCCTGCACACGCACACAAAGGTCAAAACAGAACTACTGACAATTTTTGAGCTACAACCTACTAACTGTAGGGAGTTTTCTGTGCAGCATGGTGCTGCATATTTTAATGTCCTTTTTCTTTCAGCATCTCATTTTCTTTTCCAATGTCTTTATATGAATAAAATCTATGTCAGAGTGTAAAACCAACTTACATTCACTCACCCAGTGTCTCTTTGTCTCTCTATTTTTCCTCAGGTGGTGTGAAGTTTGAGAATCCACAAACAGACCGCCCCAAACTTACCATGCCTTTGTCCTTCAGTTCATCTCACCTTTTCCCCTTCTCCTTCATTTCCTTGATCCTCCCCGTCCTCCTCCTGTCTTTCTCCATCCCTTCTCAAGCTGACTCCCAAGATGTAGCCCAATCTAAATCCAACTGTTCTCAAAATGACGTGTGTGAAGACGGTGTCCTTTTACCAGTGTGGAATCCCCAGAATCCCTCAGTTGGTGACAAAGTGGCCCGTGCCATTGTGTACCTAGTGGCACTAGTCTACATGTTCTTGGGTATGTCAATCATTGCTGACCGCTTCATGACTGCCATCGAAGTTATAACTTCTCAAGAAAAGGAGATCACTACAAAGAGACCTAATGGTGAAACGGTCACCACGACAGTTCGCATATGGAATGAGACTGTCTCCAATCTGACCCTCATGGCTCTGGGTTCCTCAGCCCCTGAGATTTTGCTTTCGGTCATTGAGGTCTGTGGGCATAATTTTGAGGCTGGTGCTCTTGGTCCCAGCACCATTGTGGGAAGTGCGGCTTTCAACATGTTCATGATCATTGGCATCTGTGTCTACGTGGTACCTGAAGGCGAAAGACGGAAGGTCAAACATCTTCGGGTGTTTTTCGTGACTGCGGCGTGGAGCATGTTTGCCTATGTCTGGCTCTATCTTATCCTCTCCGTGTTCTCGCCTGGTGAGGTGGAAGTGTGGGAAGCAGTGCTGACATTCCTCTTCTTTCCTCTCTGCGTGGTCCAGGCCTGGGTTGCTGATCGACGATTGCTCTTTTACAAGTATGCCCACAAGCGGTACCGAACTGAGAAGGGCCGTGGAATTATTGTGTCCGAGGGCGGCGAGGAAGTTGGCAAGGATGCAGGATTCACAAAGATGGACATGCTGGAAACTGATGGAATCACGACACATCTGGATGGAATGTTGGGAGTGGAAAGTGGGCATGGTGGACGTGATCAAGAGGACGAGGCCAGGAGAGAAATGGCCAGATCTCTAAAGGAACTGAAGCAAAGACATCCTGAAAAGGACATGGAGCAGCTCATAGAGATGGCCAACTATCAGGTATAAAAATCATTTATTTTTTAACACATTTAGTTTCTAAATTTAATTATTTAATGATGTATGCCATTTTAAAGACATTTATTTTCTAAAATTATAAATGGTATAAAATTATATAGTTATAAATAATTTATTGTTTTAAATATTAATGGTTTCTAAATTTCTCTGGAATGTTAAGGAGTCATATACTTAATGGTTGATCAAAACAGACATGTGGCCTGTTTTTAATTTGTGACCTACTAATTGAGAACCACTGATCAAGGGAGTTCTCTTTATTTACGCTGAAAGAATGGAAGTGAAATGTGACAACATGCCCCATAGGTGGGGCACTTTGTAAAGTGAAGGGCACATTGTAACAACTATACAAAAACTTTAAATTTGACATGATATAATAAAAAAGGACAAACTAAAATGTCAATAAAATTGTTTGACAATAAACACAAAACAAAACACAAGTACACCATAGTTCAAAACAATGTGAGCAGATTTAGAAACACATTCAGAAAATCACAGAACTGAACACAACACACCCTCCCTCCCTCCACACACAGCTTTTAGAACAGGAGACATATAAACGAGCCAGTAAGAATGTTTAATATTTCTTGAAATAATAATCTAATTTTTTATTCACATGTTTATCATGTTTTCTCAATAGAATTCATAAAAATTCTTTATGAATTACATTGCTAATGTCATGGAATAACAATAATGTAGGTAAGATATTTACTTTTGCAATAAATGTTTAGTGATATCTTCCAAAGACTTTTTCTCTTTATATAGTGTTAATGTGGCAAGTAGTAAATACAAGTTTTGTCATGCTAGCATGTGTCTTATGTGTGTTACAACTAGCCCCGTATTAGGTTGTGCCCCCCTCTCCCCTGCTCTCCCAGTTTAGTATGCAGAGACATGTGTAAGTAAGATATCCATAGATTTCCCAAAAAATGTAAATACTATCTTTGTACTGCTTTAAACATTGTTTGTTATGTTTGTTTGAGTATAGTATATGTACATACACTTTAAAAGTTAGATTTCAGCAAGACTGTAAGAATTGTCTTGTTTTAAATGATGTGTAAAGGCTTTAGTTCAAAATAAAATCACACCAGTACGGTTTGTTGAAAAGTTGTAACATACTGTACCTAAATAATAAGGTTGTAGCATTATACACAATAGTCAGCCAGTCAAATGAAGACTGTAGCTTATTGGCTCTATACTCATTGACTCAGTGGAGTTAGCATGCACGACCACCTGTTTATTCAAACAGCGGAGGACAGAGGAATTGTTTGGGAAACCTGTTTGAAAATTCCATTTAATGCTTACTGTGGTTCAGAATGTACATGTAGCAAATTTGAAATAGCTATTTTACAGCTTGAGAAACTGATCTGCAACTAACCTGCAAACTAAAAAAAAAAACCCTTCTCAACCTTAACTTTGCAGGTTCTAATACAGCAGCAGAAGAGCAGAGCTTTCTACCGCATTCAGGCGACAAGGATGATGATTGGTGCTGGGAACATCTTAAAGAAACACGCAGCGGATCAGGCCCGCAAAGTGGTCAGCAGTGGGGAACCTCGGGAGCAGGAGGATGACCCTCTTGTCACAAGAATAGACTTTGAACCTGCCCTCTACCAGTGCTTTGAGAACTGTGGGTCTTTAAAACTTACTGTGCAAAGGCATGGAGGAGATGCTGGGTGCACTGTTAAGGTGAGTTTAAAGTAAAACACTCATTAGTTTAGTCATTTAATGAGGGGAATAGGATACTCCTAAACTTATCGTCTGATCTCGTCTATTAAATTATGGAAATTATGGAACAGATTTTTGTCTGTTTATTTAATGGAAACAAGGAAGATCTTTGATCTTTCTAAATGTTTATTCATGCACAACTCCAGGTGGACTACCACACAGAAGATGGCACAGCCAATGCCGGTTCTGACTATGAATTTGCTGAGGGCACACTCGTCTTCAAGCCTGGCGACAACATTAAAGAGATCACCGTCGGCATTATTGATGATGACATCTTTGAGGAAGATGAATACTTCTATGTGCGCCTGAACAATCCCCGTATAGTCGGGTGGGCTGATGGACATCCTATTACTATGGAGACTGGAGCACCTGCTCCTAGCGCAGCCCTTGGTGAGGCCCACACGGCGACCGTGACGATCTACGATGACGACCACGCAGGAATTTTCACATTCGAAAGCGAGTCGGTGCGAGTTAGCGAAAGCATCGGCATCATGCAGGTTAAGGTCCTGAGGACATCAGGAGCACGGGGTCTGGTGGCGGTACCGTACCATACAGTGGATGCGACAGCTTGCGGAGGGGAAGACTATGAGGAAGTGTCTGGAAAACTGGAGTTCCAGAACGACGAGACAATGTAAGAGGTTTCTGTCAGCTAATGTGTTTGTGTGTGTGAGAATGTGTGTATCTGTGTGTTACTGCCTTTATTTAGCTCTTTCTGCCCAAAGATTGTCCCGCTTGAGTGAACCTTCACAGTGAAAATGCTTTTAGTCCCACAGTAAAGTTATTAGATTGTGTGTTTCTCAGGCATGACAGACAGCTTATTTCACGGCTAAGGGAAGAGCTACAAGAATTTAATTTGAAAGAACACAATGTCACAAAAATGTGAATACATAGTGATTTTGTTCCTCTTATACATTTTAGTGACTTAATGTAAAGAACATTCCTTGTATTTCTTGCCATATGGAGAAAATTAATATGGTAGACATCCTTCCATAATCGGATCGTAAAATTTTCCACTGAGGTAAATACGAGCAAGTCAAGACAGATGTTATCTTTAGTATACGGATTGTATGTCTTTATCCTGTTTCACACTTACTGCACTTTTGTCACATGAATGGCACCAATTTTGAGGGGTTACAGCGTTGTACCGTGAACCTGCTGTTGCAGTTATATTCACGCACAGCAGACACAGTATGTATGAAAAAGCAATGGTAATGATTGAATGTACAGTATGTGCGCTACCGTGCATGAAGTATAAGACTGAAGAAGTCAAATTATTTTTTGTAGTATGATATATATACAGTGGGTTTGGGAGTTTGATATGCCTCAGGCTTATGAGGCATATACTGTATAAAATAGTGGGTGAAAGGGAAATTAAAGTGCTCAGGTAATGGCTGTGAAAGTTTACAGCTGACAAATTGGTTATGCTATGTCCTTGTAAAGTGACCTCTTTCTGTGGGTCCTTTTAATGCTGGTAAATAACTTAAGGCTGTGTATGATGGTTGGCTTCATAGTGAGAAATCTTGAATAGTGTATAATGCAGTTTCAACTGTGTCTGTGTTGATCTTTTGTGTCATTCAAACCACAGGTAACTGCAGTAGTTGTCTGCTGAAGCTAATATAATGTTGATATCAGTTATGAGTATAAGCTGGTTTATTCTTGGTCTCTGGACCCAGAAAGAGTGATAGTCCCTCAGTCCCAGAAGCAAAATTGAAAAGCAGAAGTCACATACATTTAGTATTTTTGGGGGAACAATTGTTATGAATCAACCAAAAGAGTTGTGGTTATAGCTGTGGTTTGAATTCAGAGAGATCAGCCGTGAGGAGAGGACAAAGCGAATGGCTTATATCATTTTTGTTACAGTTAGTCTCTGTTGATTTACTATCCAATAAGGCTTCACAACAGGGGCACACAGCAAGCAGACCTACAAAAAATGAAACAGAAAACACTGCCAAAAAATGAAATACACACACACACACACAGAGCAGACTCACACTTACACATCATGGGGTCTGTGATGGACATAGGCTGGAGATAATCAGCAATATTCTGTATTTCAGCAGTGAAACAGTCCCCTCTCGCTGTATCTCTGCTTCCCTGGCTCCTGTCTCACTCTCTCTCCCTTCTTTCAGTCCACAATCTTCCCTTGCTCTTCTCCTTTTCAATTAAACTCACTCTTACTCTTGTTCCTGCTGGAAAAACCAGGTCATACCAGCTTAACCCTCTTAAAATAATGATAATGATTTTAAAAATAACCTCTTATTTTACCTTTAAATTTGAATGTTCATCTGACCTATCAAAACCCAGCAGAGTATTTTTTTTAACTGAGCAAAAACACATAGTAGAAGTATTCAATAAAAGAATTTAAAATAGGGACGTACTGCTGTAATATGTACACCATTCAGAGAATCTGAGAATATTACCATTAATTGCATTATGTAATGGTCACAATGTAAATAATGTAATATTTCTAAAGGAAAATGGTGCAAGTGTGTCATCAAGTTTATAATCATACTAAGATGTTCTATTTGTATTACGATGTCTCATATTAAGGTGTTAAAGGGATACAATTCTTTATTTATAAAAAATAGTTTTTGTTCCTCCATTGAAATCCATTCACCCAAAACTTGAGAATGAGTAAATGATGACAGAATTTTTGGGGTGAACTAACCCTTTAACAATGTTTTACAATATATTAAATGGCTAGAAAACAGAACATGAGGGGTTTTGAGACATGGAAGTTAGGTTTATACTGGTCTACTAGTCTTAACCATCCTTAGCCAGATGGTTTTCAACAGTGGAACCAAATCCCCCAGCTAGTAGTCCTGCTGATTAACTGTCTACTGACCAACAAATGGCCATAAATGACCAGCTAGAAACCACTTATCTGGATTCTCTGATTGGGTTTCACTCTCTCCCCTTGTCCGTTCTCATTCTTTTCCCCTTTTTTCCTTATTTCTCCACATTTTCGTGAACAAATGGGCTCTTTGAAAGCAAAATACTAATGCCTTTAGTGCTGTTATTCAGTCCAAACATCTTCAGTTTACTCCCCTTTCTCAGTTCTGTCTTCTGGCCTTCAATTAATCTATCAACACTCACTTAATGAATCTCTTTGAATGTATCACATTTCATGCATTGTATATCGCTCCACTCCAGCCTAATATAAAATATAAATATGTGTAAGTGTCTGTGTGTTTGAGAGAGAGGTTCTGGTAGATTAATATTCATATAGCCCCAGTGAAACTCTGCAGTGCCCTTAGCTTGTCATAGAAGCAGAAACCAGTGGACAAGTGTAGAGGTGGTAACACATAATAATTGAAATACAGAGAGGGGTCAGCACTGAGGACACGGATGAGATGAAGACAGACAAGGAGGTCTGGTGGATTAGTTTGTGTGTGTCTGAATGTGTCTTTGCCTGTTACCTTCATGCTACGATTTACTGAGGGCTGTGCCTTGATGTCGTTCTATCATTTCACACTGATTTATTGCTCATATTTCATGAAGAATTTATGAGGTGCAGAGAAGCGCTCTCACATATTCGCCATCCTGTCTCTTTGTATATCTATAATTTTATGCTCAATCTGTCTTTTTAATAAAATTTTCTTTGGCTGTGATTGCACACATTCCATATTTCATGTACAAAATTAATTCTGTCCTTTCAATTCACAGTTTCGGATTTTTTGTTTTCTTTGCTGAATTTTTCTAACTAGTTCAACCCCTCTGTTTTCCTTGTCATACCAAATGTTCTTTCTGGCCTCTTTCTTGTGACGTGGGGTTCTGCATTAGGCCTTCCCCTAGGGTGACCCGGAATCTACTGTGAGTACTAGATATGTGTTCCAAGTGGACCGCAGCGTGAAATCTCAAGTCAGTGCTCATCTTTGAGTATGTGTGTGCAAGGCAAAAGTAGATCACTCACCCATGTGTTTGGATAGGCAGATTCCTCCTGTATCAGGCTCAAAAACCTGCTCACCATTTACACTTTCTTCCAAGACTGCAAACTACAGGAACTCAGAACACAAAAAGCTAATTAGATATACTCTAAGACTGAGATAAAATGATAAAATGTATTTTAAAGGGATAGTTCACTTAGAAATGGAAATTATGTAATATTTACTCAGGGTCACGTTGAACACAAAAGGAGATGTTTAGCAGAATGTTCACACTGCTGTTTTACACACAGTGATGTGTTGCATGAAATGGTGTAATGTTGGACTTGTCAAGCTCTAAGCACCATTCAAGTCAAGTCCATTTGACTTGTGCACTATATTCCAAGTAGTTTAAAGTCATATGGTAGCTTTGTGTGAGGAAAATAAGAGTTTAATTTCTATTTGACGTTCATCTCAAATCACATTTGTGTGATTTCCATATGTGTTGTTTGAAACAATCAGTTATGAGACACATTCTGAATCACTGATATCGATTTTAACTTGTTCTTAACAAATTTAACATACACAACTTAAATTTGGGTTTGTTGATACCAAGCTTATAGCATGACATCAGAAGACTTTCATTTTTAGATGAACTATCCTTTTAAGTCTCAGATTTCATGTGATTTTTTTGAACTGCACAAGTAACTTTGTGCAGTTTTCCACATATACTCTCAGATCTCTTTGTAGTTTATCTTATTTTTTGCTCTGTTCCTCCTGTGATGTTTCAGAATATTCTGGGTTTGACATGGATGTGGCCTTGGGCTTACCAGAGCAACCTCTGATTGTACCTTTTGGTAAATATAACAGGGAAAGACAGAAGAGAAAAACAATCCCAACTCACTCACAATGTCTGTCTCTCAGTGTCAGGTCATGTATCTCTGGAGCTCTGAGTCTGTCTGTGTGTGTATTTGTGTGAAAGAGAGAATAGCATCACATGTGTTTTTAATTTGACTGCTTTATGGCAAGTCATTATGAAGATTGTTAAAAACATTGGCATACATAGACTCAGATGCACACTTGTTGCAAAAAAGCAATGAATATAGGCTATACTATAATGTAAAATTATACAGGAGCTGTGTATAATTTCTGCCTCTCAGATGATAATTTTATGGCATCTCTAACTTTCACACTGCGACAGAGCCTAATTATCAGCGTGCCTGCCATGTCACTAATTTTACCATGTGTTTACCCTGCCCTAACCTCATTCTACCACCGGCTATCTACATGTAAAACCACATTACTGACAAATACAGAGGTCTGCTGTGTTTCCTCCAGTTGTGCTCTGTAGATAGTTGGGATTTAGATTCAGGAGCTGTAATTGACTTTTGTCAATGTTTAAAATTTAGGAACATTGCAGAGGACTGCATAGCATAATAATGTCGGAGCATGAGTGTGTGTACAATTGATATAGTCAGAGAAACAGCAAAATGGTTTGACTTATGAAAAAACCTGTCATAAGCTTCTTGAATTTCGCAGATTAATTCCTCTTCACTTCAAGGTGCAATGTGAGATAAGCTGTGTACTGCAGATAGAGCCACATTGTCCTTTACGGTTATGGTCATACATCTATAATCTTTAAAGTTAAGAAAAGAATGAAGAAAAATGACAGAATTTTTTTGGGGATAACTTCTTTAAATTGAATTTTTCTATCTTGGATTCATGACAAGCACATTCTTTCTTTGTAAATTTGTAAAAAAAAAAAAAA